CAAGTCGCTTAACCTCCATTTACTTTAATCCACTGGAGAAGGAAATGGCAAACCACTCCAGTATCTGCCAAAAAAAACCCTATGGATAGTACGATCCACGAGATTGGAAAAAGTCTGACACAACTGAACAACAGAGTCAAAAAGTACAAGGACTTGGCAACTAAGGGAGTGTGAGAAGTCAAAATTGACACAGCACTCTTACTTGTAGGACCTTTGTTCAGAACTAAGCTTTGTCTCATGAATTCAACCTTTAATTTAAACTCTAGGAAAAGGTTCCCACCTCCAGAAAGTGTTACCTGATCTTGATGGTTGAAAAAATAAATTGATAAGCATTTATTAAGGGCCACTGATTGAGCCAGGCAGAAGCTTATATTCTATCAAGGGAGACAACATGTATATTTATAAGTATACACAGAGTAATTATGGGAGGAACTGGAGGAACTAGCAGCTGGCGGGGGCGAGGACTCTAGGGGAGGTTTTGGAGAAGGCAAATCAGGAAAAGTCTCATGTAGAAAGTAGCACTTAATACAAGTTCTGATGGAAAAACAGCTGATTCTAAGAAGCAGAGACAAGGAGGGCGTGCATTCATCCCAGGTGTGGGAGTAGGATGGGGGGAGGTGACAGCTTGGGCAAAGCACAGAGGGCTGGTGAGCTGAGCAGCTTCAGAAGGCCAGTCTGAACTGCAGAGTGTGAAGGAAAGTAATACATGAGGCTGTGAAGAAGGTAGAGTGGAGCCAGGTTGTGAAAGGGCTTTAAAAGCCAGGGAAATCTGTAAAGATTCAATAAAAACCTTCCTCCTCAGATCCCACAAAAGTACTTGTTTTCTAAGTCTATTATCTGCCCCCCTCCCTGCCTCCTTCTCAACTATATATATACAATCTCCCAGAGGACAGGAGATGAGTTTTATCTAAACTTTTATACCCTGCTGGTGCCATCGATAGTCTGGTCTAGACTTTTAAGTGTTAATAATGTGGATTAATCTTTAAAAGTGTGCTATGGGCACATCTTGGGGTTTTGGGGGGAGAACAATGTGAGACAGTTGTTAAACATTTACCAGCATACCCGTGCTGTTCCCCACCCCCCATAATAAGCACACTGTAGTGGAGAAGGGTGATAACAAATACGGAAAATGGGGAGCAAGGAGCTGGGATAGGTTTTGGGAAGAAAATTATGTGTTTGGTTTTAGATTTAAGTTTGAGAAAGGAAGCAGAGCCAGGTCAAGAGCTATCAAATAGGCTTTTGGGAAGAACTGAAGCCCTGGGGCCAGAGGGCTTGTGGGTCATCTGCCCAAAGATAACTGAAGACGTGGGGATGGATGAGACAGGCCAGGGAGGCTGTTTTAACAGAAGAAAAGATAATTGGAGATCTGACTTCACATCTCCCTCCAACTCTCCTAAATAGGGCCCAACTGGCCAGAAAGAAGATTAAGTAAGGCTCAGAAGAATCCTTTGCATTCCCTGTGTGGAGGCATTACAGCTAGCCCCAGGGATCTTATCTTCCTTTCAGGATACAAGGAGTATGTGTGGGGGGGTGGAGGGTTCAACCCCATACCTATATTTGTATGCTTGTGTTTCAGGGATATGCCATATATTTTGGAGAAAGGAAGCACATTTCTCCATTATTTTATATTCCCTTAGATAGAATGCCCAGCTGCTTATAGAAACAGGGCTGATTGCTGCACTCATGAACATCCTAACGCCTATAGGAAGACATTTCCTGCCTTAACACTAATTCATTCCTTCTCTTCCCATGAAAAAGCAAAGGATATTTAGAAATGATTGGCTGTTTCCCATTACCACAAATATCAAAATAATTTCATTATGGAAACAAATGCTAAGAAACGCAAACATATGAAATCCTTTCCCTGAAGACAGATAAACTCTAATCCACAGTGAGTTGCTTCTTCCTCTCCATATGCTTCTTCAAGAATAATGAAAAAACAAAGGCTAATTAACCTGCTGATTAATCAACCATTTATTAAATGCCTACTGCATTCCAGGCACTATGCTAGACCCCGTGGATCCAAGTACAAGGGATGAAACCAGCTCTGCTCCCCGTTCAGATTACATTCTGACAGCACACAACAATTACACATAAAAACATGTACACTTAAAAAATAAAGTAAATAAATACAAATATAGACGAAGCAGCTAAATATGATGTCATTTGGGAGAGAGATCCCTAGCACTCTGTGGAGAATTGGGAAAGGCTTCATGAAGGAGACAGTGCATAAATTCCATCTAAAAGGAAGAGGGGACTAGAGTCCAGGATAAAGGAGAGTCTGGAGATGGAGCGTAACATGGGAAGACAAAAGAGGAGGCCAGTTTAGCTGGAAGAAGAGGGGAGGGGAAGGCAGTAATGTCCTGTAAGGACAGGAAGATCAAGTTGTCAAGTTGGGTAAGTGTATTAAAAACTAGAGAAGTTTATATTTTATATATATTTATATAAATATATAGTTTACATATTTATATAAATATATATATTTATTTATATAAATATATAGTTTATATATTTTATCTTAGAATTCAACTTGGAACTTTTATAAATATTATCTCATTTGATCCTTACAATAATCCTGGGAAGTAGGTGCTATTATCATCCCCATTTTACAGTTGAGGAAACTGAGGCAAACAGGTTAAGTGAATTTTCCGAGGGTCACACAGCTAGGAAGGGTCTAAATTTTAAAATACAGTGATATTCATATTCCTGCAATTGTGTTTACTGTGCTTATTTTTCCATAAAAACATAATGTAATACTGTTATCTAAGGGCAATTGGGTGGTACAATGGATAGAACATTCAACTTGGATTTAGGAAGACCTGTGTTCAAATCCAGCCTCAGATACTTACTAGCTGTGTGGCTCTGAACAAGTCATTCGATTTGACTCAGTTTCCTCATCTGTATAATGAGCTAGAGAAGGAAATGGCAAACCATTCTAGTATCTTTGCCAAGAAAAGCCCAAATGGAATAACAAAGAGTCAGAGGACATGACTAAAATGATTGAACAACAACAGCACTATTATCAACTAAAATTAACATTAGTTTTTTCAATTGTCTTTATACATAAAGGGAAATGCTGGAAACTTATAAATACATTTTGGAACTAGGTTCTGAAAAAAGTAATACTTCTCAGAATAGTATTCATAAACCCCTGCAACTTGCTGAAGATTACTCTTCAGAGTCAAGCCCCAAGCTCAGTTGCTACCACCTCCCTGAACCCTTCCCTGGTATGGCTACCTAGAATAAAAATTATCCCTCCTTCCTCCTATCGCTCATGTCACTCACTCTTCAAATGTACTTAATCATATTCTAACTTGCACTGTGGTAATCTGTGTATGCGCTTTATCCCGGCCTACTACATTTTAAACCATTTCTAAACAGGAACTATGTCATCTTTTTAGCTTCATCTCCATAAGCCCAGTGCCTTGAACATTTTGGTGGTGAGAAGGCTGGTTCTGTGACATCATCAGGGAGAAGAGTTCCCAGTGAACTATCTATCAACACAGAGAGTTGCCGTGGATAGCACAAATGTCTGATAAACGTTGATTCACAACATTCGTGTGTGTGTGTGTGTGTGTGTGTGTGTGTGTCTTAAATGCACATATATGTATACATTGTGTACACACACACACACACACACACACACGAATTTTTATACCAAACTATGAATCACGATAAGAGGCAGCTAGGTGATACAGTGAATAGAGTGGTGGGGCTGGAGTCAGGGAGACTCATCTTCCTGAGTTCAAATCTGGTCCTTGACGCTTCTTAGCTGTGTGACTCTGGGCATTTCACCCTGTTTGCCTCAGTTTCCTCATCTGTAAAATGAGCTTGATAAGGACATAGTAAACCACTCCAGTATCTTTGCCAAAAAAAACCCCAAACAGGATCTCGAAGAGACAGACACAACTGAAACGACCGAACAACAACAAAAATGAATCATAAGATGTCATGGATTTGGAATGGAGCCAGCCTAGCTAGTCTGTCAGGTGTAACAATTATATCCTTTCTGCTATATCATGAAGTGCTTGCATGAACACTCTTGTTGTTTTCCCAAATACGGTGTACAAAATTATTCAGGGTAAGTCCATTATGATACTAACCATTTTATAATAGTAATGCATTTCCCCAAAGTCATCTCTTTAACAAATGACTGACTCTAAAGTAATGATACAGTATAAGTCTACACAGGGAGATGAAGAATTATATGGAGAGACAACTGTCCGATTAGCAGCGGGCACAGAAGCAGAAACAAAGAGAGTGAATTTGAAATTCCATCCAATGCATTATGAAATTTAATTCACCCAGACATAATGGTGTCAAAAGGTTTTCATAGTCAATCTTCAAGTTAAAATCTGTTCTCCATTTTGTACAATAGATATTTCGCTGAATAGTTTGGTAATAAAAACTTGTGTAAATGTAATAATATTCTAAATGCGTTAAGTAAGGAAGCCTGCCATTTAAAATCCTCGAAATATAAACCTTTCTATAAAACAAATCTTTTATTTTCTTTCAAACTCATATTTTTATACATTAGGTTTCCTTCAAGAGGGGAGGAAGAAAACAAAGGAGGATAAGAAAGAACACAATTTCTTCTTTGCCGTTTTATTTCTAGAGTATGCCTTGCACAAAGGAGGCACTTGACACATTTTTTTAAAAGGGATTTATTGAAAATGGTCAAAGAAAAAGATTAAATGATTTTAAAATTCATCTTACCTTAGTAGTTTGACAGCTTATTGGTTTATTCATATACCCTTATATGTAGAATTCAAATGTCTACATTCTGTATTTTATAATGTACGAGAACAAAAGACAAAAAAAACCTGAAATTCCAATCTCCAAATTCTATGCACAAAAGGGGAAATGTCCCTGTTCTTATAACATATAACATCTGTATTTTGAAATCAAAACTCCAAGCTAAACTTTTACTATTATTTACTATTATATTTTTTATAAAACTACTGAAAAATTTTCTAAGTGAACCTAAGAACAATACTTACAGTTGCTTATCACTCCTCCCAGTGGATCTCCTTTGAAGTCAAATTCAATATCCATATATTTGCCCTGTAAAAAGACAGTTTATGTGTATTTAGCTTTGAAATCTAGATTGATAGATCTATCTATCTAGATAAATATATCTCTAAATTGTATTTCTTCTAAGACAATGCCCTTTGCTAAAGCCCTTGACCATATTTTATGTGTTAATTTAAATGTAATGAGGAAAGGGGAAAGGGTCAAGTGATAACAGCCCAGTCTCAATTCAAGGCATATAGGCTATTTTTCAATCTCCCATAAGATACTTCTGGTAAAATACAACATTAGCACAAAACCATAAATATCATTCTGTTAAGAGAAAAACTGTTCACTAGTTTGACTTCCAGGTCAAAGTATTGTTTCAAACTCTTAAGTAAATTAGGTATTTGGTTTAATAATAATAACAACTGTTGAAAATAAATAATAGTTCATATTTATATGCTGAGGAAAAAATATAAACATAGGAAGGAGCTTCCCTACCCCCATACTAGCATCTTCCAAGTAAAGTATTTTGCAAACCCCTGAAACAAACTCCAGGTTTTTACTTATTCACCTATCTATCCTATAGCAAAACGAATGGGTACGAGGTATGAACAACTGTCTGATGGCAGATTTTTCCTCTGCTTTTCATGCAATCCACGGTGCAACATCATAGCACACACACGCACACACACAGATACGCCATCTCACACTCATCCCCCTTCCCCTTTTTTTAAAGGACAGGCCATAGAGTTAAAAGTAACAAATAATCCTGTTGGCAGTTTTTTCTTTGAAATAGGGTGTGTTGGGATGATAACAGTCTGGTTATATTTTACTTCCCACTTTAGTAACAAACATTTTGTAACTATTTCTATCCTAATTTCAATTTAATAAGAATCAATTGAGTACTAACTATGTGATATGACCTGGAATATAAAGACACCCCCACAACAACAACAACAACAAACCAAACACATTCTTGCCCTCAAGAAGCTTGCATTGTTCATTCTTAACTCTCAAAATAGTTGGCAGGGGGAGGAGGGGTAGGTAAAGAGAGGAAATTCGATCGTGGTCTTTAAAGATGCTTCTTCAAAACCACTGTTATCATTGTAACTACGTGAAAGGCAGAGGCTGTTATTTTTGCCTTTGTAGCACATTGCCTCCCATGTAGATGTTCCGTCATTCAGTCAGTTCAACTCTTCATGACCCTGTGGACTTGTGCATGGAGTTTTCTCAGCAAAGATGCTGGAACGGTTTGCCATGTCCCTCTCCAGTGCGTCCCCATTTTACAGATGAGGAACTGAGGCATACAGGGATTAAATGACTTGCCCAGGGTCACACAGATGCTGACTGAGGCTGGATTTGAACTCAGACCAGTGCTCTATCCACTGCACCACCTAGCTGTCCCATACTTTCACACAGTACCTGTTCAATTACTAAGTCCGTATGAACATATACTCACTCAACAACCAGCAACAGTAACTAGATTTCAAAAAACATTGTTGCAAACATGACTCTAATTAGACCAGTCTGTCCTGGAGGTTCTTCTAAACATTAGGGTCCCATAACTACATATAACATATGGGACTAAGAGGTAATGATATGTTAAAATGAAAAGTAGTCATTTAGGCCTGAGGGAAAGATGCATCAGTTGCAGGAAAAGGTGGTGGAGAGAAGCAGGGAGGGGTGCCAAAAAGGGAAGAGAAAAGAAGAACTTGGAATAATAAGGGCAAAGATCACATTTCTACCTGATCTCTAAGTAAAAAAAAAAAACTGTTTTTCTTCTACTCTATCTTCCATGACTGATGTGAAGTGAACTGATGTGAGGTGCTACAAGATGTAGGAGAAGGGTATTTATTCTTCTGGTGTTGTCACATGGCTGTAAACCCTGGACCACATTTTCCCCTAAAGAAGTGTAGGTTAGCAAAGCACAGAGAAGAGACACAAGGTAGACATAAGTAGACTTCAGCTTGTTTTCCAATGACAATCTATACATAAGCATATCTTATTCTTATAGGACAGATATAGGATTCTGATAAGATAAGGATATCTTACCATTGTCCAGGAAAGGCATTATTAGAAAGGAAGTGAGACAGTCATTTTGGCAAGAGTCAGGAATAATAGACAACCAGGTGCTATACCGTCACACAAAATGAGGGAAAAAACAAAAAGAAACACACACACACACACACACACGGAACCATCTAGAGCAGAGGTTCTTAACCTGGGGTCCATGAAAGCCTAAAGACAATCTGTAAGGCAAAACAGACAAGAATTCCACAGGATGAGATGTGGGCCGGCCATGATCTGCACTAATGAAAGGGATCAATTCATTAGGTAAAAGCTAGTAATGGCCTTTTGGTTAGAAAAACCCCTACAACTCCTGGATCTGGGGTCTAAACAATAAATATCTTCCCCAGTCATTAGACAAGTCTAGTTTCTGACGCAGTTTATACCTTCTGCTTACCTCGTCCATTCATTTGAATCCAGATCATGGATTAGCTGCTCTCAGTCTAAACCTCGCACAAACCATAAGCTTTTGCCTCATTCTGCTTGACAATGCCTATACTTTTGGAAACTCCTTGTGAAGGAAGCATGAAAGGTCATCTCTAGTTGTATGAAAAAAGGCCAAGTATAACATAAACTAACAGAGATGGGAGGAAACAGATCCCACAATGATTCTAACTTGGATTACAGTGATTTGTGTATGTTTCGTTACTACATTATAAACTACTTGGGAGGCATGGGTCATTCATTTCTCCTTTTTCTTCTATGCATTTCATCCAGTACTTTGCACAAAGGAGATTCTTAAGAATTACTGGGCAGCATAGGCATAGTGGAAAGATTGGTGGATTTGGACTCAGGCGATCTGAGCTTGAGTCTCAGCTATGCTCCTTATTATCGTCTTAGATGAGCAAGGCACTCCACCTTCCTGAGCCAAGCATTCTCCCCCTGTAAAATGACCGAGTTAAGGGGCAGCTACGTGGTGCAGTGGATAGAGTCCTAGCCCTAGAGTCAGGAGGACTTGAGTTCAAAAACCAGCCTCAGACACTTACTAGCTGTGTGACCCTGGCCAAGTCACTTAACCCTATTACCTAGCAAAAACAAAAACAAGACAAAAACAACAACAACAACAACAACAAAAAATTTAACGGGGCAGCTAAGTGGCACAGTGAATACAGCTCTGGCCTTGGAGTCAGCAGGACCTGAGTTCAAATCCAGCCTCAGACACTTAACACTTACTAGCTACATGACCCTGGGCAAGTCACTTAACCCCAATCGCCTCACCAAAAGCAAAAAAACAAAAAACAAAACAAAACAAATAAAATGATGGAGTTAAACTAGATGCATTTTAACATACTTTCTAGTTCTAAACTGATGATCCTGTGCACTTGAGATATGGAAGGTACTTTATGTTTAATCAAGTTGAGTAATCCTCTTTACTACATCAACAGAACACCATTCAAATATATACTTACATATAAAAAGTATATGTATGTATGTATGTATGTATATATGCATGCATGTATGCATACATATAGCAAGGTGATGCAGTGGACAGAGTGCTGGGCCTCGAGTTTGGAAGGCTCACCTTCCTGATTTCATATCTGGCCTCAGACACTTACTAGCTGTGTGACTAGTGTGTCACTTCATCTTGTTTGCCTCAGTTTCCTCATCTGTAAAATGAGCTGGAGAAGGAAATGGCAAATCACTGCAATATTTTTGCCAAGAAAACCCCAAATAGGGTCACAAAGAGTAGAAAACAACTAAACAATACACACACATACTTAGGTATTAGAAAAATCTCGTGCATAACAAAGTTGGCATAGCACAGCCTTCTGACAGCTGAACTGCTGTCACAAGCTATCTTTATTCTGCCTCCAGCATTTGAACTGCTTTTAAAAGAATGTTTAGCCCTTCCTTCTCAGTGGTGCTCAAACAGAAAGGGATCCTTGCTGGTGCTTATTGATTTAGAAATCCACAAATTAACAGAAACTATGTTGTATTGTATTTTTATTTATTTTGCTAAATATTTCCCAATGACACTTTAATTTGGTTTGGAGGGTTGGAGCTAGTTTGACACCTCCATCCTATATTGCAGTCAAAGTATTTTAAAGGATTTAAAACTAGGAGGGAGCTTAGAGATTCCTAGTTAAATTCCTTCATTTTACAGATGGAAAAACTAAGGCCTACAAAAGTTAAATGATTTCCCCAAGATCAAACAATACAAGTGTTTGACTCTTTGTGACTCCATTTGGAGTTTTCTTGGCAAAGATACTAGAGTGGTTTGCCATTTCCTTCTCTAGCTAATTTTACAGATGAAGAAATTGAGGCAAACAGGAGTAAATGACTTGCCCAGGGTCACATAGCTAGTAAGTGCCTTAGGATGGATTTGATCTCAAGTATTCCTGACTCTAGGCCTAGCACTCTATCCACTGTACCTAGCTGCTCACTAACCAACCTTAAGTTTTCTCATTTACAGAATGAGGGGGCTGGACCAATGACCTCTAGGGTCACTTCCAGTTCTAAATCTATATGAACCTATTAATCACAACAGTATTTTCCCCCCAATACTTTTCCCTTTCCTATAAATACAGTAAATGACTATTATTTATTTTGCAACTTGCAATTTTTTCAGGATAATATGAACTACTGATTTTACTATAGCAATTCTGTACTAAAGGATTAATAACTTGCTTCTATATTAGATATGCTAAAGTTTCACATAACTTTAATCAAAGAAAGTCAAATCTAAAAAATACTGGAGGAATAAAAGTAAAACTGATGATGAAATCCCTTGTCTAGCTATATCTTTCTGTGACCATAAGGGTTGGCCAATATAGTAAGAATAGCTGCAGAACAAACTAAGGCATAATTAGGTTGTTTCCTTTCAAGTAAGGAGTTGGCCTCACTCACTTTGTGAAAGAACTTTCCAAACATACAGTAAGTACAATCATGTATACTTTTCTAAGTTTGCTCTTCTATAAAGATCTTCTCTTCCCCTACCCCAGACACAGATACCTTTACCCAAATTATATCTAGCTGCCATTCACCCTTCTCTATTTCACATGGCACAAAGGAGGTGAGTTCTTTATGGAATTATGGATTCTCAAGTAATTTGAGGCCATCTCCACTTCCTAATGAGCTCTCCTGTAAGTCTGGAAAAGGGAACCTCTAACTAGCTATTTCCTGCAACCATGGATACCTCATTTCAATTAAATACAACCATGTTAAGTACCTGTATGAGGAGAATTTTGCTAGACATTAGGTGAAAGAGTGTACCTGGAAATGCCACTGAAAGAAAATGCAGGACCCCTGATCTCCAAAGCCATATGCCTCGATTCCATTAACTATCCATCAAGTGAGAATTCATCTAGCATGAAAATAACTCAATTTATTTAGAGGAGCTTGGAGATACCAAATATACCTTTTCCCTTCTCTTCTCATATCTGTTAGTTATCTGTTATCAATATTAATAACAGCAGGTTAGTGGCTTCAAGGCAGAGATAGGAGAAATGTTACTTTGGTAAAAACCTTGGCTTACTTGAACCCTTCAAGATCAATTGCTTTAGAGATCGGAGTTTTCCATATAACCACAGATCCTGTAACTATGCTGGATGGAATGTATTACACTCCACCTGAGTTTCTGTTTTGTTTTGTTTTGTTTTTTTCACACAGGATAATGAAGATAATCTAACCTTTTCTGGATGATTCTGGTTCACTACAAAATATCATTTGTTGCTCTACGCTAAAATATGATACCTTCAGGGTCTACTGAGATGTGCAGAGCCATCTGATTCCATGCCAAATGACCAAATGGTCCCAGATGACTATTCTGAGTTTCTGTGGTCTCTTCTAGATCTAAAATCTATTGATCCTATGACTGGCAATTCAAGAGCTCCTGTGGTCCAACCCCCTATTTTCTCTTGCAATTGCCATTGTGACAGTCCTTTGCCCTTCATTTAATTTGCAGTTAGCTTAGAAATCAAAGTTTGTTATAATTGTTTATTGTGTTGTTGAATCATTTTGGTCATGGCTGACTCTTTGTGGTCCCATTTGGGGTTTTCTTGGCAAAGATACTGAAGTGGTTGGCCATTTTCTGCTCCAGTTCATTTTGAAGATGAGAAACTGAAGCAAATGGGGTAAAGTGACTTGCCCAGGGTCAAACATCTATTAAGTGTCTGAAGCTAGATTTGAACTCAAGTCCTCCCGACTCCAGGGCTGGTGCTCTATCCACTACACCACTTAGCTGCCCAGAACTGTGGAATAAGGGGAAATAGGCTACATGAGGGTCTTTGTACAAATTAATTCCCAAAACATAATCCTTATTTTCTGGAATTTGTGAAGTATAGCCCTAGCATTTTTCTTTGTTCTATAACCCTCAGGGCAAGCCAATTCAGTTTTCCCATCTGTATGGCAGGAATACTTATATTTGTATTACCTATCTTATAAAAAACTGCACTGTAAATTTTAAACTGCCATACTGATGTAAGTTATTTTACTTTAGTTAGGAGGTTTTTTTGTTGTTGTTTTTTTTCCGTGGGTTTTTTTGTTTGTTTGTTTGTTTTCTGGCTCACTTCTTGGCTCTTGGCTGAGATCCAATCAGGTGAAGGTGAAGGTGTTATTACATGCCATCATGTTAAAATTGCCCTTGAAATTTTATAACAGCCATCAGTAAGAAGGACAGTGTGATAGCAGAGTGGTTTGCTATCTTTCTAAAAAGAATTACAAGGTAAGATATCAGAGAGATCAAAGCATTTCCTGTCCTAATCATCAGTGTTTCAATAGAGTTCTCTTTTTATATTTTAAACATAGACACACACACACACACACACACACACACACACACACCCCAAGACAATATTAAATATCTCATTCATTTTCAACATGAATGAACCAAACATTAGTGTTAACTCTTCTGTCTATACAAATACTTACAAATCTAGAGGAGTTGTCATTCCTTACAGTTTTGGCATTTCCAAATGCTGCAGGAAACAAAAAGATATAATTTGACATGATTAAAAGATGCTGACAATCTATGAAAAAAACTGAAGCAGGAAGATCAAAATATAAACACCCTATTTAAAAACTCAGTCATGTTCTGAGGAGGCTGAGCAATGACATTTTTAATGTAGAATTGATTTAATTTCCTTGTGAAATTTCCCTGGCAATATCCAGGTTGGAAGGTTTTAAATGAAGTGTTTAAAATCTGCAAGTCTCATTATTGGTTCAAATTTCCAGGTTAGGGGGTATAGCAGGGCTTCATTGTGTTCCATAAGATGTCACTTATTTCAAAGACTCTCAGGTTTTCCTGATATTGGTCAAATTAGTAATGTCAAACCTCAGTAACTATGCCTTTCTATCATCATTAGTGAATATAAGTAAGAAGCATGGGGTTGTGGCAGTGGGTGTAGGTTGTAAGACCACAGAAAAAACCTCAACACTTTATGCGTTCTCAATGGAAAACAAAAGCAATTTATTTAACTAAAGCTAACTAAGTCAGTACTCCAAGGACAGAGTAGAGGACAGAACTCAGCACTAGCACTTAGCATAGTGCCTGGCATAGAGCAGTTGCTTAATAAATGCTAATTGACTGGCAACCAACTTACAATGGACATAACCTTTATGCTGCAAAGGATCTTATTTTCTATTCCTACAAAATATGTAAAAATTTCTGGACTATGGACAAAACTCCTTTGGGAGACAACTGATTCAGCCGAGCTCAACCTCATTCCCAATAGCTCCAAGAAGAGAAGGATGAAGCAGTATTGCCTCCTCAATTGCAATGTCCAGACTTCCCCTCTAGTACTGCCCTGGGAATATCACATGGGTGACGACATGGTAAGCAGATATAAGACTTTCTCACCAAATCATACAATGTGCTATGTTCTAGGAAAGAAAAAATGTGGGCATAAGGATGTGAGGGAAAGACTGGAAAAACTCAAAAATCTCCTAAATATCATCAATAAACAAATCCTTAATATAGGGTATCATAGAAATCTTAGTGCAGGTTTAAGTTAGTAAAGCTTATAGTTTAATCTTAATAATACTTAATAAATAATCCAGTGCCTACTATGCACTGCACTAGGTGCTGGGGATACAAGTAAAAATAATGAAACAGTCCCTACTTGCAAAAGACAATTAATCTAAACATCAAACCAATTTAACAGCTTCACATTTGCTTGGTTTTTGTAGTGGTTATTTTATTTGTATTGAATCTAAGACTTCATGGGCGTAGGGGACTCCCACTGAAGAAACTCTCTCTAACCAATTCAGGTCAGTGTCTGATCTTCAACTCATAGTCTTAAGAGAGTTGGGGAGGGGGAGGCGCTGAAGGGCTAAATGATTTTCCCAGGGTCACACAGTCAGGATGTCAGAGCCAGGACTTGAATTCAGATCTTCTGGACCCCAAGACCACCTCTCTAAACATGCTGAATGCTACTTCTCTTCCTTTACTTACAAAGGTGGCAACAGAGTGCATGCTCAAAGGTAAGGACTTTGGGCCTAGCTGAGAGCTACAAAGACTTGGCTACCATTTTGCAGTCAAACAACCAATCAAAGGCCCAAAAGGTATGTTTGGAGAGGAGAGTGACCCTTCAGTATGAAGTATCTAAACCAATGAGGGCAAGGCTCATTCTGTTTTACTCTAGCTGGCTTCTTTGCTTTGCATAAAAATCTTTCCATTTTATCTGACCTAAGCAAAACGAACAAGGCAGGTCTAGACAAAATTTTGAAGGACAAAATTCAGTTCAGGGATTAGAATAACAGCTCCCAGCAAACAATTTCATATTTTAACTAAAAATCAACTGTAATATAACTCCTTGGTGTCAAATGAAGAGGAGAAATCCTATTTAAAAACCATGCTTGACGAGGAGGGTAGGAGTCACGTCACCCACCCAGCAGGCTAATGATTTTCATAAATGCAGTGCTGATAATAGTGAGCTTTGACTTGCTTGATAAGAAAAACCTAACATTTTTGGTATTTCTCATAAGGCTCAAACTTCAGTGGGTGGGAATATACATAGCTCCCTAGTCAAGAGATCGTCAGAGTTTTAGATCTAACTTAAGGAGCTGATACAATAAAAAGGGCAATTTGTTGAAGAGAAGGTCAGGACCAAGTGAAAGAACTGTTTAAAAAAAACAACTTTATTCAGGGTGCCATTTGTAAGCCATAAATCATCTTTTCATCTAGCAAATCTGAGCTACATATTATTAAGCACAGACCTAAACACTGAAGCTTTTCATTATGAAGCACCGACTCAAACACAAGCACTCTATTCTAAAATGCCTGAGACACATTCCTCAATTGTTTTTCTAAGTTCATTGTTCTCCAAGTTCATTTACAGTAGCTGCTCTAGTTAGAAAGCAAAAAGCATTCCCTTAAAAGATAATACATGCCCACCAGCATACATTTCTCCCATTTCCTGGGTTCGAGTCTAATTTCAAATACCACTGAATAAAGGAAAGGATTCTAAGCACAAAGGAAGACCAGAGGCCCATACAATGCTCCTACTTTAGGGTATGGCATTCTTAAAATAAGCACGTGAAGATATACAGCACATACCTTGCACAAAATATTAAGACAAGAGCCTATGATTCAGCAGGAACAGAAAAGTCAATAACTGAAAAATCCAAAGAATGGAATGATAAATCATAAAAGACCTGGCATTCCATCCAGAGCAGCACAGCCTTGAAGTCTGGAAGACCTGGGTTCAACTGACCCAAGTAACATAAACACTGTGTGATAATGGACAAAAAACTTAACCTCTCAGTGCCCACAGGCAACTTTTTTTTTTAATACTCTATATATTTATTTTTTAAATAATATTTTATTTTCCCCCAATTACATATAAAAACAATATTTACCATTCTTTTTATTTGTTTGTTTTTTTAAGTTCCAAATTCTATCCCCTCTTCCCTCTCCTCCCTGAGATGGTTAAGCGATCTGATACAGGTTATGCATATGCAATCACGTGAAACACTTGCATATTAGTCATTTTGTCCACATGCAACTTTTTGAGGCTATCTTGCAGATAAAGAGGGAATCTGGTTCACTCCCAAAGCCTGGTATCAAATCCCACGCCTGACATTTACTACCTGTGTGACCTTGCTTCAAATTTGTCTTCCTATATCAAGGGTCCAGTTTTTAATGGGTGTGTAATTGAACTGCGGTAATGTTGCTCTTCCCTGCTAGATTCTTCTTAGATAGCAAATCTAAGCCACAAATGTCAGCTAGATTTTGGAGTTTGGATTTTTTTTTTGGTCAAAAAAATTTTAAGTTACATGGTTACCTTGAAAATGAAAGACAAATAATCACTTAATAGTGGACAAGTTTCTCTCACTTAAAAAAACCTGTTTCCTGCACCCCATAAGTTCTGGGGCTTACTTACTCTGCAGGATTTGGTCCAAATTCTCTTATTTCATTCCTTTTGCCTCCCAAATGCCAGGTGTTTGTAGTGTTCTTAAAATGACCTCAACCATAAGGACCACACCGATACCTGACAGAAACAGACTTAATATATCCATATATAGGAAAATCATACCTTCTAGTACTGGATTCGATTGTAAAAGCTGTTCTTTGACCTGGTTAACTTCGGCTCCTTTTCCACAAACTGCAGCAACATAGGACATCACAAGTTTGCTGGCTTCTGTAGATGAGAAACAAGCCACCATAATGAGTTAAACAGAAATCTCAAAAATCCTTAAGGGGTGGTGCTAACAGTAAAAGTGTGTTGTTTTTGGCGGGGGGGGGGGGGGGGCATAAGCTCATCATTTTTAAATGTAGCATACTTTCAATGTCTTTTCTAAAAAGTTAATTTTTTTTTTAAATTTTCAGCTAGTGTAAATCTTTATTAATTCAGACCTCAACTAGACTAAGTTCAACTCTACATTACTGAAAATAAAAAGGTTACTAAGAAAACATTTCTTCTGAGATCTTTATGTTAAGCAATGTTAAGCAAATTGCTAACATAACGATCTAAGAAATACTTTTTTACAATAAAATTTTATTGATATCTTTTGTTTTTACAACACCTACATTTGCTTCTCTACCCCCTCTCTCAGAGAGCCATCAAAACGAGGAATAAGAGGGGGGAAGAAAAACTAATCCACACATTAAAAAACCTGATGTTACATGCAAAGTTCCAGATATTTAAGAAAAAGAACTTAAAGTTTCCATGCTTAGATGTAATCACTAGTTTAATTAAAATTGTCCCTAAAACACTCATTAACGTAGCCTTCACTACACACTCATGCCGATCAGACTGTCTGCCACAGTTTGGTATATCTGGTACTTGCTGCTACATTACATACACTTACAAGGTCTAAAATACCATTTCTTCAAAATTAGTCTCTAGCCATACTCACTAGAGCCCCTGAAATCAACTTGAATTAGTGAAATATTGCTGTTTATTCATGGTTGTACAGTTCTGCCAGAAGCAAATATTCACTCTTCAAATTAAAAAGTGACCTAATCACTCATTGCCTTATGATTTATACCTAAGCTAGGCAATGAAACAGGTAACAAATCAGGTCATAATTCAGCAAATACTACATATTTAAATGCTAAAATGTAATGATTATAGCTGCAAGTCAGCATCAATTAAACTTTCTATTAACATTCTATATCCAACAGGCATATTCTAATGAACTGAATAGAACAGTGAATATAAAGTACTTGATAAACTGTAAAATGTTCCACAAATATTATTGTAAGATCGATCAACTCAAGGTTTTCTAAGCTTACTATATGGGCAAAGAATACATAAACTATATCATATGTAAGTTGCTTAAGTTCTAAAATAGGCTGTCAATTCTAAGTGAGAATTAAATTTCTCAACCTCTTCAAATTTTCCTTGGCAATTTTGTCTGGATCCCACTTTTATCCCCATTACACTCTGCTGTATATTATGCTTAGTTGAGTAAATTTCATAACCATTCCCTACCCTAAGAAGAAGAATGTTAGCTCCCCATGGGCAGGTGGTAGGTGGTGTGTCATTTAAAAACAAACAAACAAAAAAACAAAACACCTTTTCTCTCTCACTGCCTTGTACATAGCAGATGCTCAATAACTTGACATATTTACCAAAGCTTCATGCCAATATGGTTTCAATAACTGAGAATACACAAAGTCCCAGAGACCTTTAACGTCGTGCACGCATCTGAAACAAGCTAGGACAGGGATGGACCCAAGAAAAATTGAGAAGAAAGCAGTTTGGTTTGGGTGCATTCTTCTCTCCAAACCCCTTTTGATACTACTTATTTCACTTATCCCACATATTCTTGCTAAGCTTCTAGTAATTCTCAGGTGTGTGTTTATGTGTATACGTATCTGCATGCATCTATAGAAATTTAAGTATATATGCATACAAACATATGTAAAAATAAACACATATAACAAGTATAAATACACATGTGTATTTACATATGAGTGTATATCTATCAATAAACAATTATTAAGTGACTACTATGTACCAGGCACTGTGCTAAGCACTGGAGATACAAAAAGAGGTAAAAGACAGTCTCTCCCCTCAAGGAGCTTACAATCTAATGGTGAGGACAATATGCAAAGAAATATATACAAATAAGCTACGTACAGGATAAACAGGAAATAACTTAGAGGGAAGGTACTAGAATTAAGAAGAAAGGCTGCCTGTAAAAGTCAGGATTTTAGCTGCAATATAAAGAGCCAGGTGGCACAGGGAGGACCTAGAGTCAGGAAGACCTGAGTTCAAATCCAGCCTCAGACACTTACTGGCTGTGTGACCCTGGGCAAATCACTTAACCACATTTGCCTCAGTTTCCTCATCTGTAAAGTGAGCTGGATAACAAATTGGCCAATTCTATTATCTTTGTCCAAAAAAAAAATCTCTAATGGGGTCACAAAGAGTGAGAACACAACTGAAACAGGACACAACAACAAGGGAACTGAGGGAGAGCATTCCAGACATAGGGCACAGCCAGAGAAAATGCCCAAAGATGAAAGATGGAGAATTTTGTGCGTGGAGGAGCCAAAGAGGGAAATGTCACTGGATTAAAGAGTAAGCATCAGGGAGTAAAGTATAAGAAAACTGGAAAGGTAGGAGGGATCTAGGTTATAAAAGCCTTTGAATGCCAACAGAAGATTTTGTATTTGATCCTGGAGATGACAGAGGGCCACAAGAGTTTATTGAGTATATAAGTGACATGATCATACCTAGGCTTTATTTTAGGAAAATCACTTTAGTAGCTAAATGGAAGATGGATTGGACTTGAGGTTGGCAGACCCAGCAACAAACCATTGCAATAATCCAGTGTGAGGAGATGAGGGCCTGCACCAAGAGTGGTGACAGAGGAGACAAGATCTTGGCCAGCCACACCCAACAGTAGCTTCCATGGGCAACTATGGCCTCCACCTTCCACCAGAAGTGAATAAATGAAGGTTTGGCATGCTACCGGTGAACAGCAACTGATCACTAAGCTAAAGTCTTCTAGCCAGTCTAAGGCTAACCTGTAGATTCAATGGCATACAATCTTACAGAATGTAATGGTGGCCCTTGAAGAAGCAGTATCTTACAATCCAGATCATGTGGGAGCTCTTAAGCAAACATTAATTAGGAAATGCTAAAAGAAAGATTAATTCAAATGGAAGAAATAAAACGTGATTATCATTTTCCATTGAAACCCAATAATCCAATGATAAGATAATTTAAAAAAAACTATAGTATTTCTAAGGCACTCATCTTAAAATTTCAGTTCAGAAGTTCTTGGGTTCAGGTTGGTATATGCCTTCAGGCAAAGATTCTGGAGCTTTTTTTTAGCAATTCATTTTTGGAAGCAGAGCTTAAGGGTAATTTTCTCCAAATAAGGCCTCGTTGACCAAAAATGTCAACTCGTACAACTATTTTTTTTCAGTGGATACCTGATCTTCAAAACTCAAGTCCAAGAGACAGTCACTACTTTAGAAAGATGAACAAACCAGTAAGGCAGCATTTTGAGATCCAAGAATGTTTAGTGAACAGTTTTTTACAGTCTGTTCTCAGTATCGAGTCCTTCTGAAAACAGGAAATAATAGTAATCTCAGGAGGTTTTCTGCTCAATTTCCTTTCTGTCTATTTGAGCCAAAGTTCAGATAAATTTGGATCGGTGTCCAAATACTTAAGATTTATCCAAATCAAATCTTTACATAATCATTTCTATTAATGACCAAAGAGTGGAAAAAGCATTGGCTATGGAGTCAAAGGACAAGGGTTTCGATTTCTGCTCTGTCATCTACTCTGTGTGCTCTTGAACAAATTACTTTAATTCTCTAGGCCTCTGTTTTCTCATCAGGAAAGTGAGAAGGCTGGACAAGCTCCCTCTTGAGCTCTCAATCTATGCTCCAATGGACTGAGTACAAGAACTGGGCTATCAATTCTTTTCTATCTGAAAGCATAGTTCTCAAGACGATTTCAACTGTTGTTAGGCACCAGTCAAACACACCACCTTGTACACCTACAATTCTGCAGGGTCCTGTCACTTGTAAATGCCCAATACATTATTAGATATTTTAAGGATAATTTACAACAAATACTTAAATATTTTTATATAATAGAAGGATGCATAGAGTAGTAGACAAAGTGCTGAGCTTGAATTTAGGAAGATGTCGGTTCAAAGGTGGTCTCTGACACTTCCTAGTGTGTAATGGGGCAATGAAGACTTATCTTCCTGAGTTCAAATCTGGCCTCTGACACTAGCTATGTGACCCTGGGCAAGTCACTTCATCCTGTTTGCCTTAGTTTCCTCATCTGTAAAATGAGCTGGAGAAGGAAATGGCAAACCACCCCAGTATCTTTGCTAAGAAAACACCAAACGGAGTCACGAAGAGTTGAATGTGACTGAAACAACATGCAATCAATGAGTGCTTATTGGGTTGAGTGCTTCTTGGACATGACTGAAAAACAACTGAACAACAACAACAAAAGCTATGCAAACCTTTGCAAGTAGCTTACCCTCAGATTCCTCACATACAAAATAAGAGGACTGGACTAGATCCCTCTGAGGTTTCTCCTAGCTCCAGATCTATGTTTCCTAACCCTGATTTGACCCTGACATCATGATGTCATTTTGGTCTTCTTCAAACAACACAATGCCTATGTGCAACTCTCCTGGAATATCCGCACACTGACAAGATCACAGCTCTCCACCCTACCTCATACTCATGTATACTTTGTAAAACAAGAAAATACTCTGGTTAAGGACAGGAGGAGAATTTTTGCTAACAGTCATAATCTCAAAACCTTTTACTCATTTAGAAGGAATATTAGTAATTTTTAAAATATGCTAACTAAATAGAATTTAAAAGGATTGTTTCTAACAATTCAACAGGATTTAAAAGGGATTCTCTTCTCCAACACATCCCCTCCTCCCCCAAAAAAGGGTATGTATATCTGTGTGTGTGTATACACATATATACATATACATATGTATATACACACACACGCATCTATATGCATGCATACACACACACACACACACACACACACACACACACACACACACAGAGCAATGTCAAGGATCCCTAATTGTGCGGGTGTGGAAACTCCCTTCATCAAGTTAGATCACAACCATCTATGACTTGGTAGAAAATCTTAGGAAACTGCCTCAGGCTAAAAGAGGTCTAACTGCCCAT